AGCTCTGGTGCCACAATAAATTACAGTTCCCATGATTCCCTAGCACTGAGCCAGGGCAGTGCCTCAATTTAATGTGCACTATTTCTGGCAGTCTGCTTAGGCCCTTAGTCTCCAACCATACATGGAGAGAGAAATTTCAGAGGTCCAAAGGGACTCAGGAAAGGAAGAGGCACTAGGGACTAGATTGCAAACATATGATGGCTAATGGAGCACACTAGAGAATTGCAAAAGAAAATCAGCATGTGCTTTATAGACTATAGCAAAGCCTTTGACTGCATAGATCATGAAAGGTTATGGAATGCCCTTAAAGACATGGGAGTGCCAACAAATCTGATAGTTCTGATGAGGAATCTGTATTCAGGACAAGAGGCTACTATCAGAACAGAACATGGAGAAACAGAATGGTTCCCAATGGCAAAGGAGTCAGACAAGGCTGCATCATATCACCCTATCTGTTAAACATGTATGCAGAACATATTATAAGAAAAGCATGCTTAGATACAGAAGGAGGAAGAGTGAAAATAGAAGGAAGGAATATCAACAATCTGAGATAAGCTGACAACACCATAGTACTAGCAGAAAACCTCATAGACCTGGAACAGCTACTAAGGAAGAGCACAGAAGAAAGTGAAAAGGTAGGCTTAATGATGAACAAAAAGAAAACAAAATTAATGACCACCAAGGACCTTCACAAGTTCAACCTAAGCAATGAAGAAATAGAAATAGTAAAATAATTCCCATACCTGGGATCAAATATTGATAGAAATGGGGAGTGCAGTCAGGAAATCAGAAGAAGATAAGAATGGGGAGGGTAGCTATGAAAGAACTAGAAAAGATTCCAAAATGCAGATATACAATTCAGCACAAAAGTCAGAATCATACAAGCCATTGTATTCCCTATTACCATGTATGGATGTGAGAGCTGGACAGTTAAGAAAAATGATAGGAAGAAAATTAACTCATTTGAGATGTGGTTCTGGAGAAGAATGTTGAGGATCCCGTGGACAGCCAAAAGGCCAAACAAATGAGTCTTAGAGCAGATCAAGAAAGAAACCTCCCTGGAAGCCAAGATGATACTTCAGACACATCATGAGAAGAGAAGACTCATTAGAAAAGACAATAATGCTGGGAAAAGTGGAGAGAGAGAGGAAGAGAGGAAGGCCATATGCCAGATGGATGGACTCTATTAAGGAGGTCATGGGTATGGGTTTTCAGGATTTAAGCAGAGCAGTGGCGGACAGGGGGTCTTGGAGATGTCTCATCCCTAGGGTCGCCATACCCTTCTTGAACCCAGGTTGGAGGCAGTGTGATCTCTGACCTTTTTCTGACATTGTCTCAATTATATGCATTTTGCTAGCTGAAAACTGAGGGTGATGGCTAGACAATGATTCTGACATAGGTTCATAGTAAGTTGAAACACTGGTGCTTTTTGAGGGAGGGATAAATACCAACTTCTGGCATCCTCCATGAATTCCCCTATTCCCTCTTAGATTAAAATGAAGCTGTGTGTGTGTGCATTTTCACAGGATCAATATATTTTTGTGACTGTTTCAGTTCTTGTGTAGAATATTTTGGGATGTCTTGGTAATGGGCCATTCAGACCCATTAGTTTTACAAAAAGATCTGCTTGTAATAAAGATGAAAACTGCTAAGACTAGTTTATTGCTATGGATCAATGCAGCTGCCAGCAATTTTGGACTATCCTTGGGCATTTGGATATGGGGGCTGGCATGATCAGTACCCACCCTCAAAATTTACTACTGCAGCACTAAAATTAGGTTTTTTTCAAAGTGCATAATTGATATGCCAATGGGCATCTGTTATGAACAGTGCTTGCTATATTATAGAGGAATATATATATGACATTGTGACCAAAGCCTTGCTCTCGACTTGCAGATGGCCTCAGTGAGAGAAAAATCTAGCAAAAATTATTGAACACAGCCCATCTGTAATCACATTTATTTTTCCTCAAAGCTCTCAAATGAGACTTGTTAGCAAAAATTTAAAAATGTTTCCAGTGTCTTTGCAAATAACTGTAACCATCAACCAGATGTTAGTGGGAACCAAGACTAGGACCATAATAAAGCTGAGGAGGGAAGATTCAGCCCTTCCCAATACTGTTTTCTGGGTCAACTTCAAAATACAAGTGGAAGGGGGAGTTAACTCCTCTCATATCATTTTCTCAATGTAAATCACCCAAAATTCAAAGGAGGCCATGCCAAAGAAATAATCCTGCAGTTTGAGAGTTGTGATGCTTGGTAATCCTCGCAGGAGGATTCCAAGGAACTAGGTGCAGTATTAACATCTTACTATCTACTCTGAGGAGAACCTAGATATTGTGAAGGTGCCAGATCTCATCTGATATAGAAGCTAAGCAGGACCAGGCCTGTTTAGTACTTGGATGAGAGACCATCAGGGAATACCAGGTGTTGTGGGCTATATTTCAGAGGGAGGAACTGGCAAAACCACCTCTGAGTACTCCCTACCTAAGATAACCCTACAAAGTTCATGAGGTAGCCATAAATCAATAGGTAGCTTGAAAACACACACACACACACACAGACAGACACCTATTCTGAGATCTTGTCAGCACAATTCACTCATTGAACTCATTCATCTATCCAGGAAGGGTCCTTGTTACTATTAGAGCACCAAATAGTTAAATCATATATTCAGACAGATGCTGGAAATCAAGAACAATATAACCTCTCAAAACATCATGATTATCACAGATTTTACTTCTGTATTTCATTTTGCTGCATGTTCTCCACACCTACTCATTAATGGTATTTATCTTCACAACAAAAAGTCAGATTCTATTCTCCACATGGCGTAAAAGACTAAACATTCTGCCAAAATCATCAGCATTACAGCAATTTGTCAGTGAACCAGGATGGAGTACAGTGCTTTGACTGATCTTGTGTGATCATGTGATCTTGTGGTACATCTTCCATTTGGACTTATAATTCAAAGCACCATAACTGGCTGCTGCAGGGAATGGATTAAGGACTCCTTCCCAGGCTACAACTAAAAGGCAGAGGTGTTGGATAGATAAAAGTCCATATAAGTAGATTAGAAAAAGTGAGGGAAACAGAGTGACATATAAACTTGGAGAATCCAGAAGCTGGTTTTGAGTTCACGGATGTGCTAATTACATGTATTTACCACTCTGACAGGGTCATTTGGATTTAAATAGCAAAGGAGAAAGAGGCTCTTGGGTAAAGCATGACTGCAAATTGTATTGATGAGCATTCTTACTTGGAGATTCAAGTAAGCTTTCTCTATCAGTAAGGTTATCTACCTACAGCAAGTTTTGTCTGCTTTTCCTCAAAGGTGCTTGCAATTCACAATGAGAGTGAAATTCTGTCACCATTTTCCAAAACTGGTTGAAGGAGTTAACAGCTGATATATTGTGTCAATGGCTCTAGTCTACATTGGGAATTCAAAAAGTACTTTCATCCTGTTTGCTGAAGGTGGAACCATCCATTACAAGAGATACGTAATCACTTCCACATAATAGCAGTCCTGCCTCTCATTCCTACCCTGTATTTGGTAACCTCTAGTAAACAAAAATATGATGCAACACCACTGTTGTTCAAATTCCATCATCTCTGCAAGGAAATGTAGAATGAGTATAAGAATATCTGAAGGCCTATTTTGTCAAGATTTCTGTTCTCGCAGTAGCCAACTAATTGCCCTGCAGCAGAACATGCGTGAAAATATTCCCTATCATTAATATACTTGCTCTTGCACAGGAAAGATTATATAACCATCAAGACTATCAGCCACTGACAGTTTCTCCAGGAACCTTTGCAGTCCCCCTTTAAAGGTGTCCAACTTGACAGCCATCAGCATCACTATTTATTGTAGGAGGAAATTCCACTGTCCAGCTACATGCAGTATGAATCATCTCTTTTCTTCTGTCTTCACCTGGAATTGAAGAAATGGTGATGCCATTGTCAGTATAGTTGGGATGTTTCTGTCCCCAAGCAGTTTCTCTGCAGAGGAAAGTCTGCTCCTTCCTCAGAGAGGGAAGAAAGACTGGTTTGTTTCTATCAAGGGCTACTGCCACATTGCAAAAATAAAACAGATTGACACCACTTTAACTTACATAGTTCAATGCTATGGAATTCTAGAATTTTTAGTTTTATGGGGCACTAGAGCTTTCTGACAAGGAAGACTAAAAATTTCATAAAACTAGAAATCCCAGAATTCCATAGCATTGAGTCATGTCAGTTAAACTGGTGTCTTACTGGTATATTTCTGTAGTGTACATGCACCCAAAGACAGCCTATGCTAGAGCCAGGAAATGGCTTCTATGTGCAGCTGTCCTATAATCAGAACTGCAGTTTCTATGTTGGATATCATAAAGAAATCTCCAGATGGACTTGTGATTCTAAGGGTGATTCCCCTTCAGCCTCTGCCACGGCTTGGTTGGATAGTTGAACTTGTTGAATTGTGTTGATGGATGTGTTATAAACAGTCCTTAAAACC